AATGTTTTCACTGAAGATTAAAGAGACCTGCACAATATAATTGTAACTCTTTAGGTAGCTCCTAAAAAAGGACTAAGATATTCAAGAATTAAAACTACTGCACTTATCACTCTTGGTTTTATAGAGAAATATGTATATATATATTTTTTTTTTACATAATGACTTTATGAAGTCAACAATATACAAAGTTGTATAGCTATTTGAAGAATTTGAATTATCTGATTGAAAAGGTACAGTGTATTGTACATACAAGAAATAACTGGAAAGTTGGATGTCTGTATAATTGTATTGGTGTACATACACCAGCTGCTCTACTTACTGGCTACTCTACATTGTGAAATAAAAAAGCTTTCAGTTATTGCCTTGCTGGTAAAGAATGCAACACAAGAGTAAAAGTGATGAAGCACCTTAAACATTTATTTTTTAATGACTGTATATATAAATAGTTTTGAAGCATTGATGTTTTTAATAAAAAGGACATGGGATTTTAAAATGAACATTACTGTGCAGGTCTCTTCATGGTTGAATCAGGAGAATATTTAATTATAATTTTGTTCTGACTATGCTGTAATTTGAGCATTAGACCTTGTGAATGAAATAGCTCATTACTAAAGAAGTATAGTGCATGTTTTCTTCAAATAATGAATAAAATGTCTATTATAACTTTATATTATTTTGATAATATATTTTAACATCAAAAAATCATGTTTATGCATGTTGTTGTTTTCTAACATTTAACAGTGGGAGTTTGTGAGTTTAATCCATAAAGTATGTTTATTTTGTCTATTATCAAATGTGAAACAATAATTATTAACCTTCAAGCAATAAATTTTTACTGCATGACTGATCTATCTTGTTAATGTATTGCTTATACTTTTCTGTTAAAACTTGGAAAGCTCACTAGAATTTTTAAAGTTCTCTTATTTACAGTTTGAATTATCTATTTATATACTTTTTTCCCAAATGGGGAGGCAGAAAAATAAAGGATATTTAACAGAAAAAATTTAGACGTAGATAACTGTCATAAACTTTATACTGACCAATCCACTAACCAAACTTCTTACATTGGTATGAATGTCAACTGCCAGGAGATACGTCAAACCTGCTCCATAAGGAACATTATTCTGAGTTTAAGAAGGACTACCCATTATCATCTGAAGGAGGTAAACCTGAAAACTATAGATTGGTCTGCAATGCAGTAGTAACAACACTTAAGAACTGCAGTTTTATTGCATAGAATTTTGTTCCTGTTTAGCACAGCACTCTTTAATGAAGATGAACTGGAGTTTAAAATAATGATTTGCTTTTGACACTTCCTTAAGAATATATTGTTATATTGCTATGATTTTAACATGATGCTTCTATTTTGGGAATCTATTGCAACAAAGCATGGTTCATTGTTCATGGTCACTGTTTCATGCAAAGCATGGTTATAGTATTTAGTTTTTTGTGCATGTGAGTTCCATTTGGACTATTCTAATTTTTTAGCATGTCTTATATTTTCTTTATCGTCCTTGAAGTTGGTTTTGTTTTTTAACTTGAAAGATAGTTGATAGTCAGTTTTAGCATAGTATATGTAATATTTTGATAGATTTTTACTTGGTTTTCTTTCGTAGTGAAATGAATCTTGAGCACTTCATGTTAATAAAGTTATAGAACTACTTTTATATTATTTTACACTAGCTTAGCTACTATTTAAAAACGTATTTTTATATTGAATTGATTATGTGTCCTTATTGCTGTCATCATGTTTTGTCTTAACCATTTGTACACTGTAAAGCTAGACCTACATTATAGTGTGAATAGACAACTTTTCCAAGATATGTGACTTGTACAGAAAAGTATTAAAGAAATATATTCTCAAGGATGGCATAGATATTTTTGATTGATATCAAGAATTCTCCACTTGTGGTTGTACTTTTATTTTCTTAATTTGTTTGATCCTGATTAACTGACATTTATACCAATGTTAATATACCTAAATAGTGGTAATATTTCATAGAACAAAAAAGAGTTAATTTTGTCTCTTCCTTACTATCAGTTACAGCACTCCTGTTTCTTATCCTTGTTATTAGTATCTAACATGTTTATTATCATGTTTGAACAAGAAAGAATTATTAAAAGCATTCTTGTATGCTTGAAAATTACTCTGCTATTTTTCAAACACATCAGTAAATTGTGTTTGAAATGATATTAGGTACACAGTAATGTAAAAACTATATAGTTACTAGACATTCATACATTAGGAAATAGGTTTATCCTGCGTGTATATATTTGTTACGGCTTGACAACTGTAATATTGTACCTGTAACAATACCATGTATGGAAGAATTTGATCAGGTTGAATGTGTTATTGACCAACATATACAAATACTTGTTCTTTTCTCTGTTGTAAACTAAATGTTGTTCTGAGGAGCAAGTGATGTACATATATAGGTATGTATATTTCTACATGTGTAAAACATTATTATGTTGTAAAGTGAACTACAAAACTGTTGTCACATGTTACAGTAAAAGCCTAATGGTTGCATGTGACTCTGATATTATGTTTGTATTGTTTGAAAAAGGTTTGCAAGTAAGACATTTGTGTGATTGTTTGCAAAATACTAAAAATTAACCCCTTTTTGTGTGCTGGTGTTTTATACTTTGTGTATCATTAATCTAACCAATAATAAAAGTGTTTTGAGTTTTGCTGGTTTTTCTCTGTGATAACAAGATTATATTGCATAATAGACTATATGTTATCTTTAGTACAGTAAAATTCAATATTGTAAATTCCTATGATTGTAAAAATGAGAAATATTTCATAATAAAAATTTAATAATAATATTAAAAAATTAAAAATACCACCAGGAATAACAATTTGGCTTGTTTCATACAATTTTTTGGTTTTAATGCCTGATAAATGATGGAAATCTTCTACAAGACTTATGTAAACTATGCAAGTTTAAATATATAACAGATAGAAAGCTTTATTGCATTAATTTTCAGGAACCTCCTGAAAGTTTAGAATTATTGTGTAATAGTTTTATTTGTGAGTTATATATCCACACTGATCCTTATTAATTTCAGTGTAGTACAGTAGTAATCAGTAATTTTTACTGTATTAAGAAGCCTAGCTTGGATCATACAGCTTAGCTCATCTTCTAATTCATAAATTTTAATTAACATCAAGAGATTCTTGTTGGCAAATGAAAGATCTTGCTTTTCTAGAATTGTTGGCTTTTTATCATTTCATCAACAAGGTTGTACAAAAAAAATTAATCATGTAAAATAGCTGCTGTTTGAAAGTGTGTTTACAGAAAGCAAATAGGCTTAAATGAACCTATTATTATGTTGATATACACAATGAAAGATTTAATAATTAAGAGAAGTTTGATTTGTCTTAGTGGGGAGATTGACATGGCTAATGTGACTGGACTTGTAATCCAGAAATTCATAATTTGCATAAAAAATGCTCTGCATTTTGGTGCTGTGGGTGCACTATAAGAATGATAGTCCAATCCCACTAAAAAAATAGCCGGTTAGTGCTGTTGATTAGCTGCCTTCCCTCTAATCTGTTAGTTCTAAATTAGGAACAGCTAAATATAGATAGCTCTTATGTAGTTTTGCACAAAATTTTGAAATAAAAGTTTCAGTTACTTATGTGTATCAAAGGGTCAAAATTCATCATTAACCATATTTAGAATAAATGATTTTCTTGTATGTTCCAGTTGTGAATATGTGCCTCAGAGAGGTTATAACTCGCTTTATATTTTATGTAAGTGTCTTTTCTTAGATTATATTTTAAGTATTGAAATCATACCGATTATTTGGCTTAAAAGTTTAATATTTTATTCTCAAGTGTGAATCCATAATTTTGACTTGTCTTATTAAAACTCCAGTCTCTTGAAACATTTCAAAAAATTTTCAGCCAAGGCTTGTTGTTATGCCACCTTTAATTTGTTCTCTATAAACTTTCATCCAAATTTTCTAATAGCTCTTAAAATATATTTATACTGTTCTTAAACAAATACAATATCTTTTGTATTTTCTTGCAATGCCTAACTTTGTCAGCAAGTGTATGTGGATAACATATATGTCATATTTTTTGCTCTTAACTATGCATTGCGTATGTTTTAGTATATTTTCTTGAAATCTAAATGAGCTAAATTACATCTGTGAAAAATAGGATTATTAAAATTTGTTAAGATTATTTACCAAGGAAAAGCCTTAAAGGCTGAAAACATCAAACTAATCTATCAATTCTGGGTGTGGATTACATTATAGTATTGTTTTTTCCCATTTATTTTACCTAGCAAAAAATAATCATTAATAGCCACTTTAATAATTGAGTTATGTGTATTGTATTGGTAAGTCATTTGGTTGATGTCATCACTGGAGAAACATGGTTAGTCATTTTCATGTAATATAAGCACTGATTCTAGAAATGTAAGCCTGGCATGGTCAGGTAGTTAGGGTGCTCAACTAACAATCTGTGGGTCATGGGTTCGAATCCCCATCCCACCAAACATGCTCTCTCTTTCAGCCATGGGGGCATTATAATGTGATGCTCAATCCCATTATTCATATGTAAAAGAGTAGCCCAAGAGTTGGCAGTAGATGGTGATGACTAGCTGATTTCCCTCTAATCTTTCATTGCTAAATTAGGGACTGCTAGCACAGGCAACCATGGTGTAGCTTTCCACGAAATTCAAAACAAATCAATTTAGAAATGTAAGAAGCTGGTATTGGGAAGGGAAGCGTTTTAAAAAAAAGGTTGAAATTGTCAATATCCTGTAAAAGTTCTACTTCATTTCTAAGAATTGTATGATCTTCAGCTATCAAAATATGAATTTAAAGTGATTTGTCTTTTAGGTACATGTATTTCTATTAACACTTTATAAAATTTACTTTTCTAATATTAAAACAAATGTTTCGAGATATATTAATCATTCTCTAAATCTACAAAACTAGTAACAGTAATTATTTATATAATCCTTCTTTCTCAAAATTTCAAGCTCCACCACGTCCACCTTTACCAGGCCAGGAAGATGTACCCCCACCTCGTCCTCCCCCTCCAGAAACAGATGATGAGTTTGAAGCATCATTTCCAGCTCTTCAGCCAAATCAGCCAATCATGGTAAATCAGTTTGGGTATTAGCTTTGTTTTCTTTTAGTTAAACTTTTGCTATCATGCAAGCATTTGGTTTGTGTATCTAATTTTATATATTTATTTGATGATGTTGAACTTTGTTCCTATATTCTCATTTAAAAGAACTTATTGGAAATTGCATTTGGGCAATAATTGTGCTCACTAGATTACAGACAATGACATATTTAATAATATTTCAATCAGATGGCAGATCAATGTTCTAATTGTGTCCTAGTGACAGTGATAGGCTTTCACATATGGGTTGTGGTTGCCAAAGAAAAATTAGCAGTTCTTAGATTCATTTGGCAGCTCTTATCTATTAAGTGTTATTTGTCTGATGTGTTACATGTTTGTATAAGTTGCTGTGTTTTATTAAAACATTTAAATTTATATATTTACCTAGGAAAATCAATACAATGGTGTTCAGTCACCTCTTGATTCTTATTCATGCTAAGATAATTTGTCTCGGTGTACTCATATTTCCAATACAGTACTTCCCTCTTCTCACAAGATTAGCTATTCTCATTTATTGCTGTCCGCTATATGCAAACTTTTTTTATTATGCATGCTACAAGCCTTCTGCACCCTCAAATAATTCCAACGTGTGTCTCATACAAATCATTATGCATCACTTCTCCACCAATAGGAGAATAGTACACTCACATGTGACTCCCTCTATGTGCATCTACCGAATTATCACTTCTCATTTGGCAGTGCTTGCACTCAGGCATTTTTCTTTTTCATCTTGATTAGAGTTTGAGATTGCATTAGTTCTTGAGGTGGTTTAATTTCACATACTCAGTTTTTTTGTTTTTTTTAAAGCATTCAGGTTCAATTATCCATGTTCTAGTGGCATTTATTTCTTACTTTAAATGCTTTTGTCGACTGATACAAATGAATTCCGAAATTACTTTCACCACTCGGGTATCTCACATTCAACAGGTGCTTCTTTTGTGGTCCCTTTCCACTATCCATCTCCTGTCTGAGGCTTTTCACAGAAATCCTGAAGGATTTTCTGGGGACATCCTCTCCCTACTTACTTCCACGTTGGCTCATTTGACATCTCAGGCTCTGTTTTAAGAAATTTTGTCTTTGATACCGTCCTGGAATCTCGGGTGGCATCTGTCCAGCAACAATCTACCCTTTCCCATATGGTAGCTCATTTATCTCATTCAGAGCCGAGTGCGGTGCCAATTCCAGTTTCCCATCCTTTCCATTCCTAGCCCTTACCTGACGATGCACAATACGCTGCCACTAGTTCTGGTGGGAGCTCGATTTGCGACCTTTGTTCATTGGTAGTATCCTTTCAATACCAATGTTTGGGTTCTTCGGGTTTTGTCAGAGGGCCTCGATATTCTATTTCTTGCCCCACCTCCCTTGTCCCCGATATCTGTTTCCTTCCCTTCTCCTTGGGATCTCATAACTTGTCAGCATCTATCAGAGGCAGTACAAGACCTCCTCACCCACCAGGCTATCGAACCTGTTTCACATCATTCACTGGGGTTGTCCCCAAAAAGACCGGGGACTGGAGACCTGTCATCGATCTGTCCTGCCTCAATCAATTGTTCACCTCCCACGTTTCACCATGGAGTCCTAACTTACTCTTCGGTGGGCATTTTCTCTGGGTCTCTGGATGACCAAGATGGATGTCTCATATGATTATCTGCATATTCCCATTTCAGAATGCTCTCGTCTTTATCTTCGGTTCATCTATCGAGGGGTGGTGTACCCTTCAGGCTGGCTTTTGCTCCTTATGTTTTCTGTCGGGTGGTTAGAGCTTTTACTCTTCATCTTTGTGCCTTGAGACTGTATTTCCATTTTTACATGGATGACTTGGCTACTTCTGGTCCATGCCGAACAGGAGTTAGCCAGTCATACTCATCATCTTTTTCTCGAAGCTGCTCAGGTAGACTGGTTGATCAAATTAGAGAAATCCTTTCTGCATCCTACCCAATACGTTGTGCATTTGGTTGTTGTTTTCAACACTCACTTCAGTCAGGCCCAAGCTACCCCTCTCCGACTCTGTTATATGGAATTGTCAGTTTGCCACACCCTTTCTGCACATGAGTTTCTGCTGCTTTTGGAGATGTAGTCTTCTATGACACCGCTAATCTCTCTTGGCCAAGCACACATGCACTTCCTTCAGTGGGCTCTGCACGATCAATGGAATATTGCTCGGGATCCCTTGGATGCTCCCATAACACTAATTCCTTCCATTGTAGATGATCTCCTTTGGTGGTTGGACAAGTACACATCGACGAATGACCTGCTTCCTCTTCCTGATTTAGATTTACATCTTTTTACGGATGTATCCTTTCAGGGCTGGGGTGCATGGGTCAATCACCAGGAGGCTTTGGGGCTTTGGTCTGTTGACAAATGGTCTTTACATATCAACATCCTAGAGCTCCTAGCATTTCTCGAGCTTTGGATCACTTTCTTCCCATTGCCAGACAATGTCTGCAATGATCCATTCATACAAATCAACAGTGGTGCCTTATATCAATCACTAAGGTGGCACCTGATCAAGATCCCTCTGTTTTCATACATTGGATCTCATATAGTGGTCTCACTCGCAACACATTTGTATAATTGCATGTCATGTCCTGGGTTCTTTCAACCTCATGGCGGATCGTCTTTCCCTTATCCATGCCACTCCAGGCTGGGTCCTTCTGATCGTACCCTCCTGGCCACCTCAACCATGGTTTCCTCGTTTACTATAACTACAGTTATTCCCTCCTGTACCACTTCCATTATTATTAAAATTCCTTCATCAACTCCAGTCACTGGTTCTGCATCCTGCACTTCATGTCCTCCATCTTCATGCCTGGCTTTCATCCAGTCCTTGACGAGGAGATCTGGTTTCTCCTATTGTATAGCTTTTCATTTGACTCAAATCCATTCGTCCTTCCTCCATACAGTGTGTCAGTGAAAGTAGAAGGTCTTTCACACATGGGCCCAGGCTCTGGGATTTCCTGCTACTCGTCCTACTGTTGCTGATGTCTCTGAGTTTCTCACGTGGCTTTTCGCATGGAGGTCTTTGGTCTCCTCAATTTCAGGCTATCAGGCAGCTTTATCCTATACCTTTTATCTTTCTCATTACTGCAGGGTTTTTTCTCTAACCCGTCCCTACCATGTTAATCCACTCCTTCCAGATTCGTTGACCTACTCTTCCAGATTGGGACATTAACATGGTCCTCCATTCCCTTCTTTATCTCTCTTCAAACCTATTTCCCCGTGTTCTTTGTTTCACCTGTCCTATAAGGCGTATTTTCTTCTCCTTTAGGCCTGTGGGTGTCTGATTTGTTTGCCATCGATGTTACATGCACACTTTACCACCATACCTATTTTTCTCCTTTATCCAGATCATTCATTCCTTCCTTCCCAAAAACCTCAGGGGCTCATGAGGGTAACTCCTCTTTTTCGCCTATTTACCTTCCTTCTAATTCTCATCTCTATCCACGTCCCAATCCGGATAGACTACTGTGTCCTGTGCATGCTCTTCATTGTTATATTACCTGCACAGCTTCCTTCCGTGGTTCCAGTTCCCGTCTCTTTATTCAATGGCAACCACCCTCTTCCTCTTGGGATCTTTCTCACTTTACCCTTACCAATTGGATTCATTGTTTAATCCAGTTGGCTTATTCCTCTTTGTCCCCTTCCCAATGTGGTTTGTTCCATATTACTTCCCATAGAGTCTGACACCTCACCTTTTCCCTTGCTTACATCTTCATTGGCCTTTGGAGGAAATCCTACAATTAGGCAAGTGGACCAACCCTAACATATTTATCTCCCATTATTTACATCATATCACGGTTTTGGCTTCCTCGGGTTTTCCCCTTTCATGTGTGGCTGTGCTTCAGACTTCGGTGTGACTCCGACACTGGATAAATCTTTATTAATATTTTCTTTTTGTTCAGGGGCCCATTCTTCATACCTTCATTACATGGATTACATTTCCTTGGCTCTTTTTCGTTCTCTCTTATTACGTGAATGTTATTGCCCTTTGGATGGTCCTGACCTGTTTCATGGTTGCAGGAGTTGATTGCATGCAGTAGACTTCCTTTTGAGACCAGATGTCAAATTCTTGGATCTATAGATCAGATCTAATCCTCTGTAATACCCAGGATTTAGAGTAGTTCTATATGTTTCTCAAGTTAGGATCACTTTGTTACCACATTCTATCCCACTTGAATGTGCTTCTCTCATTTTCCACCATAATATCTTGCATATTCCACATATGGACAAAGAGTATACCTGGATTAGAAGTGGTGCGGTTCCCTTCCTCGGATCTTACTCTCTCATCTACAGAGATATCCTTTGGATCATTTTGGGTGGTATGTCTGTTCTTCTCTCACACTGATTCCTCCTCCTAATCATTGTGAGATTCTAGCTAATCTTGTAAGCAGAGGTAAGTACTGTATCAGAAGTTATAATTTTCCTATACTGAAAATGTATTTCCAAGAGATAATTTGCTCCACTCACGCTTCCCAATCTTCCTCCCCACTGACTTCAGGTGCTTCCGTTGTCTGTCAAACTTTGAAGTGATAGTTCGGTAGAGGTGCATAGAGGGAGTCCCATGCATCACGTGAGTGTACTATTTTCCTATTGGTGGATAAGTGACACATGATGATTTGCATGAGAGACACATTGGAATCATTTGATTCTAATAGTGGGGGTGTGGAAGGCTTGTGGCATGTGTAATGAAAAATTTCACATATAGAGGGCAGCAATGAATGAGAATAGCTAATCTTGTGAGAGGAGGAAAGTACCTATCGGAAATACATTTTCAGTATAGGAAAATTATAAATTTCCGGTATGTATGTCAAAAAGCAAATTTTATAAAATACTCAGTTTATTAATACAGAAAGAGAAATAAAAAGGTGTGTTTTATTTCAGATGTGGTTAAAATATGTTTCTTATAATTGATCTAACTTTTTAGAACAATTTATGAACATTTTCAATAAATAAAATTAACTTTATTTTGGCTACTCATTATTTTTATATTTAAGATTTACTTTTTATCAAACACTAAGACCATTCATAAAGAAAGTGATTTGAAAATGTTTAATAATAATAACATCTTAGTTGTGCCCATCATTAACCAATTTATTAAAATCCAATTTTTTATGACTGTAAGCGAAAAAGTTTATTTTAGTAAATGCTTATTATTTTATTATTTTTTCTGAAGTTTTGAGAGCCAGAATTTTTCATCATTAATTTTTATAGTCACCTACTGAAAAAAAAACTGAAGTGATTTTATATATTAGCATTATGAAAATAAAAATGAAAGGAGTAATTTTGTATTCTGAACTATTGTAAGGTTGGTTTGTTAAATATGTTTTTAATTTTTAAGAATCTATGTACAGATGTAGGTTCTAGTATAACATAATTTAATTTTTTAATTAATTTACTTAATTTTTGTGGTATGTATGTATGTGTGTTTATATTCCAATAGCCCTTCCACAAAACTAGTGTTCTCAGTCAACAAAATCATTCAGAAATTCAGATGCCACCCCATTTTCATCCACAAAATGACAGTAATGGTTTATTGCATTTCTACATCCAAAGATGACATGGAAAAAATTTATACACTTTATTAACTATTTTTTATTAACTGACCTCATAACCATTTTGTGATTGTTATAGTTTTCATGCTATAATTTTTAAATTAGTAAGCGAATGTTAATGA